GCTCCTAGTAGCGTCCTTGTTCCTAGTAGTAAGGCCAGGAGCTACTAGTAGCGTCCTTGCGCGTCCTTGTTCCTAATAGTAAGGCCGGGAGCTACTAGTAGCGTCCTTGCTCCTGGTAGCGATGGCCTATGTTGTGAAAGAGAGAAACCAAATGGGAACCAGGTGGTTCTTCTGGTTTAGTAATTACACCGGTTTACTCTGCTAGTGGTTTCTCTTGCACCGGGTTTGTTATGAGCATGTTTATATAGTTGTGGACATAATTTACTTTGGTTGTGGCTTTGCTTGATATTCTTGATAGGTGCTCACAACTACGAAAAAAGGAAAAAGAGGCCCTGTTACCCGAGCAGTGTTGTTACTACTAGCTTCTTGTTACTACTAGTAAGGCACTTGTTACTAGTAGCGATGCACTTGTTGCTACTAGCTTCTTGTTACCCGTGTGTTGCGTGGAGAATCCTGAAACTAGGTTCAGGCTACTGTTCGCCTGTGGTCAGGTCAGTGGGTGCCAGTCTCGCTTTCGATCTGAACCGATCTGATTCGATTCGGAATGAAAGTGATCTCGGTGCACTTGACTCAAGGGTGAATTGTTACCAGCTACCCGGCAGCTACCCGAGCCTTTCAGGAAGAATCAACCAATCCGGGTTGACACAACTGACGCAAAGCTGGTAGATCAAGGCACCTGAAGCATGTGGCATCCAGTGAGATAGTTCGGTCACAGGCATCTGCTAGGCCCAAAAGGCAAGACTTGGGTTATCTCAATCTGTTTCTTTTCGCATCATTCTTTTCAGAATTCTGGATGCTTTTCTTTGGAGCACAATATCTCTTGGAGACATGCTCAGAAGCATCCAAAAGAGCAGGAGTTCAGAATCGCTACACTGTGCAAGAATCGCTACACCTCCACGTTCAGACGGCTTCGGTGGGCCTTCCCACTTCGGGCGCCTACCTGGTCAGACCATCTGGGATGTGGCTCGGGGGACGGGCACTCCGTGGGACCGTGCGGATGGTGCATTTCATTTGAGGAAAGCCTCCGTCGGAGCAGAACTGCATGGCTTCCTGCCGTTTTTGGAATGAGCCAACGGCAGAAACGGCTCGAAATCCAGACACGCAAGGCTTGGACGCCATCGCTATTAGGGTGGAGGCCATAGCTAGTAGGTTGGACGCCATCGCTATTAGAAACGAAAAAAGAAAAGGAAGAAAGGTCTAATATAGTTGGAGGATGTTGGAGGCCATTGCTATTAGGTTATCCCCATCAGGGTCCAAAAATGCAAGGGTCTAGGTGACCTGAATGTCTGATTTTTTGGTGTCTCCTCGTAGTCTGCTTGATCTGTTTCGCCGCAAGCTTCATATTCTTTCATGGCACGTTCGTAGGCTTTGGTAGCTTCTCCCCTAAGGCCTTTCTCCTGCAAGGCCCGTCCCAAGTTGAAATTCACCTGCACGGTCGACAGGTAGAATGACATTGTTTCTTGACTTATTGTTGCACAGTCATTGCACACTTTTTGATTGCCATGCCTAAGACTTGTATAACTCTATGCAGCTCACTGTTCCCACAAGGAATCAAACAGAAAAAAGTACGGAAGAGTGGAAAAATCCAAATCTGGACTGATTAATCACCCATCCATTTGGTCGAAGACGTCACCCATGTCCCTGCACCGTTGGTCCCACCCGCGCCTGTGCAACAGCGATTCCACTCGCCTTGACCTCCATGTAGATGTCACGAGCTTCTCTGAAGGCAGCCACAGCCGAATCCAAGTCATCCAATTTCTGCGCCTAATTTCATAGCCAAAAAGGGCAAAGTCGAGGTGGAGGCTATGAATCCCCATTTAATGCTTGCAAAGCCTCTATCAAAGACTTGTGCACAAGAAGAAGGTCCCATTCTGGACTCACACAGGTAACACCTGTATGAACATGTCTGAAAAGCCTTTGTTGGCCCACAAAAGGGTAGCTTGCACACGGGATCTCTGAAGAACACGGGACAAAGCCCTGGCCGTGAAGCCCATCGAAGCCTATCCGGCCTGAAGATGTCCGATGTTCAGCAGCAAATTCGCGTAGCCAGGGCTCGCAGTGACACCTATCGCCTCATAAACGTTTTGCGCTTCTCTGAAGACTTGCAAGGCCTCATGGTTCTGATCCAAGGTCACCTCCATGCGGGCAACAAATCATTTGTTGATCTCAAATGAGTTTCTGCGAGCGTCCTCCAATTTCACCCCGTTTCCCATCACCCCGTTTCCCAACTCTGCATGGGTTGTGAGCAGGGCTCTTTTTTTCGAACTGCTTCAATGAGTCGCATCGGGAAGTGAACCTGCTGTCGCAACACTCAGATTTCAGGGTGGACTTGCAGCTACGTCCAGCACGAATCTACGAATGACCAACAGGGTACAAAGGGAAACAAAGTTATCCCAGCAAGAGCTCCAAACAGTGTGTGTGTGTGTAACCCTTGGAATCATAGGGATCCTTTTGGATTTTTCAGGTTTGCCTTTCTGTTTTGTTTCACAGCAGGGGGGCAGTGAATCTCATTCCATCCACTGCCCAACGAAGACGGTGGTTTGAGATTGTGAAGCGAGAAGGGACGCCTTCTTGTGTACCTGCAACTTTCCACTTTCGAATGGCGAGAGGCTAAGCCGAGAACCTCATGACTCGATGTTTTGATTGAACTGCAGATGCGAGCGGAACGTCGTCAACCTGTTTCGTTCGTCGTACGTTTTCTTCCTTTGGGGCCCTACTTCCTCTTGAAGACCTCCAGGATCCAGTGGTTCGTACTTGTACCCTTAGGAATAGGAACCCTAGGCCGGCGTGTGGCACCGCTTTCAGTTCAGTACACCCTATCCTAAGTGTGCTTGGCCTCGTGCCAACCCGGGATGAGCCCGCAGAGTGCCTCCCGTGGACCCGTTGAACGGGGGTTTGTCGCTGTTTCCCTTGCTCTGGATTCGTAAGTGCCCACAGCGGGCGAAGGTGGCCTAGGCCGTACGTCCGATGATTTTTGTCTCATCTTTGGAATTCCAAGTTGGCTTATGCCTGTACGTGACCGCAGCGGTCAAAGCAGCCAGCCATTTCGGCAGGGCACAAGGTGACCACAGCGGTCAAAGCAAGTTTAAGGTCCAGTGGGACCTGTTGGAGCCTTAGTATCTCAGTTGATTCCTCCTTCTCCGCTCCCCGCTCCTCTTTGGTGTGTCCCTGGACGCTTGTTTCGTAGCTGGGAGCACCTCTCTTTCTCTCTCTCTCTCTCTCTCTCTCTCTCTCTCTCCTCTCTCGCTCTCTCTCCTTTTCTTGACGGGTGTGTCCTTGGACGCTTGAGTGGTAGCTGGGAACACCATCGTCTCATTCCTTTTCTCGTTTGGTGTGTCCTTGGACGCTGGGCTCGTAGCTGGGAGCACCTCTCTCACTCTCTCTCTCTCTCACTCTCCCTCTCGCTCTCTCTCCCTCTCTCCTCTCACTCACTCTCTCGCTCTCGCTCTCTCTCTCTCTCTCTCCCCTCCCTCTCCCTGCGCCTCCCGCCGCTATGCAGCTCTCTCCTACCGGCCTCGCCGCCTACACCTTGCCACACCAGGCCTTCGCTGGCAACCGCACCAACCATCCTTCCTCCAGTTTACCAGAAACGGTCACTTCTTTTCCGTTTCTTGTTCTTCCTCTTCCCGCGCCTCCACACACCTTTCCTGTCCCTTCCCTACGCCGGGGTTTACACCCTACTGGATAACCGCGTGCAGGGGTGCCTGGGCCTTTTACTGTGCAGCTGGCAACCGCGCCAACCATCCTCACTGAAATCTCACCCCACCTTTGGCGCGGAGCTTAAAATCTTGCCTCCCTTCGGCGAGGCGTGTGTGTGTGTGTGTGTAACCCTTGGAATCATAGGGATCCTTTTGGATTTTTCAGGTTTGCCTTTCTGTTTTGTTTCACAGCAGGGGGCAGTGAATCTCATTCCATCCACTGCCCAACGAAGACGGTGGTTTGAGATTGTGAAGCGAGAAGGGACGCCTTCTTGCGCACCTGCAATTTTCCACTTTGGAAAGGCGAGAGGCTAAGCCGAGAACCTCATGACTCGATGTTTTGATTGAACTGCAGATGCGAGCGGAACGTCGTCAACCTGTTTCGTTCGTCGTACGTTTTCTTCCTTTGGGGCCCTACTTCCTCTTGAAGACCTCCAGGATCCAGTGGTTCGTACTTGTACCCTTAGGAATTGGAACCCTAGGCCGGCGTGTGGCACCGCTTTCAGTTCAGTACACCCTATCCTAAGTGTGTGAGGTCTAGAAGTGTAGCAGCAGAAAGTCTAGAGATCTAGACGCATTGGGGTCCAGAGAGGTGATGGTGGTGATGAAGGTGCGCAATGCTCTGAACCAACTTGCTCCCATTCTTATTGACCTGAACCTCGACTCCTCCAATTCCTCCCAGGGTCGCCGGGACATTACCGCATGGACCCCAACGCTCGCTTTCCCCCTCAGACCAGCAATTTCCTTAGCACCCACCACAGCAGCAACACAACACCATCAACCACTCTGCCCCACTTCCCGCACACGCTCCCGCTCTCGGGAGCGTACCAACTCCACTCGCACCTGGACCACGCCGCTATTCCACCACAGCGCACACGACTCAGCATCCTCCACTCCCACGTCTCCCACACCCTTTGAAGCCAGGGCCTACATCCGCAAACCTAACGCAGCCTACGACGGCAGCTACCGCGGAAATTTGCACCACCACCTGTGGAGCGCTTCCACAGCGGCCATTCGAGAGCAGATTGAGGCACAACGAGAGCGCAGTCGCGACAAGCACCCGCCGCGCCCATGCAGATTTTGCGAGCCTGCGAGGTCGAAATGCACTTGGAGGATTTCGAGAGGCATGAATGTACTGTATACATAGCAGCGAATTAGCCGGACACGTCGGCGCTCGATTCGACGCCGGTGCTTTACACTTACTGTACGAACCACGCTGTTTGGGGAATCATGCCAGCACGAATTGGACTATTCAAGCCTGATTTAAGTTGAACTAGGCAACGGCAACTACGACATCGGCTGCTTCGAGATCTATCTTAATTTCTCGCACATAATCTCTGTGGTACCAATTGCTTATTGGGGACACTGTGTCACCCATCCAACCTTGGTGTGAAACAGTTGTCCAACTGTGACAATCTTTTGGAGGCCATCGCTGTTAGTAACAAGGGCATGGCTACTAGTAGCAAGAACGCTACTAGTAGCTAGGGCATTACTACTGGTAGCAAAGACGCTACTACTAGCTAGGGCAAAACTACTGGTAGCAAGGACGCTACCAGTAGCTAGGGCATTACTACTAGTAGCAACGACGCTACTAGGTTGGAGGCTATCGCTATTAAGTTGGAATGGGCCCTGAATGATGTCTGTTGAATGAGCCCGGCGCAACACAGTTCAGACGGGTCCCTGTGCCTCTAAACGACCCATGTTCACAAGGAGATCGGCATAGCCAGGGCTCTGTTCCAGCTTAAGATGTTTATAACATGCTCTGGAGCGCTGGTAGAAGTCCATAACCTTCGGCTTCCACTTCGACACATGGCGGAAGGTAGAAGACCCCATGAAACAAATATCAATAACGCTCATTAACTACACGAAACAGAATGTTCAGTACGGCTCGAAGATTCCATGAGCGAAACATAGCCAATCCCTCTTGCAAAGTCCCTCATGAACATGTAACACAAGGACGCTATAGGGGCTCCTGGCC